GAGGTTCTGTATCCAGAGGTTCTGAGGTTCTGTATCCAGAGGATCTGTTTTTTCTGAGGTTCTGTTTCCTGAGATTCTGTATCCAGAGGTTCTGGTATTCTGAGGTTCTGTACCCAGAGGTTTTGGTGTTCTTAGGTTCTGTTCCTGAGTTCTGAGGTTCTGCATCCAGAAATTCCTAGATTCTGAGATTCTGTAAGATCTGATGTTTTGAGGTTAATTTTCCTGAAGTTCTGAGGTTCTGTATCCAGAGGTTCTGATGTTCTGAGGTTCTGTATCCAGTGGTTTTGGTGTTCTTAGGTTTTGTGGTCTGAGGTTCTGTTTCCTGAGGTTCTGATGTTCTGCTTCTTTAGGTTCTGAGGTTCTGCAGCCAGAGGCTTTGATGTTCTATGGTTCTGTTTCCTGAGTTTCTGTATCCAGAGGTTCTGTTTTCTAAGGTTCTGTTTCCTGAGGTTCTGATATTCTGTATCCAGAAGTTCTGATATTCCAAGATTCTGTAAGATATGATGTTTTGAGGTTAAATTTCCTGAAGTTTTGAGGTTCTGTATCCAGAGGTTTTGGTGTACTTGTGATTCCTGAGGTTCTGAGGTTCTATTTCCTGAGGTTTTGAGGTTCTGTTTCTTGAGGTTCTGATGTGCTGAGGTTCTGATTCTTTAGGTTCTGATGTTCTTTAGCCAGAGGTTTTGATGTTCTGAGGTTCTGTGTCCAGAGGTTCTAGTGTTCTGGGGTTCTGTTTCCTGGGCTTCAGAGGTTATGTATCCAGGGGTTCTGAGTTTCTGTATCCAGAGGTTTTGGTGTTCTTAGTTTCTGTTTCCTCAGGTTCTGAGGTTCTTTATCCAGAAGTTCTGAGATTCTGTAAGACCTTATGTTTTGAGGTTAAGTTTCCTGAAGTTTTAAGGTTCTGTATTCAGAGGTTTTGGTGTTCTTAAGTTGTGTGTTCTGAGGTTCTGAGGTTGTGTTTCCTGACGTTCTGAGGTTCTGCTTCTTTATATCCTGATGCATACTCAATAATCCAGGTAGAAAAATCCAAAAAAGTTCAATCTGGTCCTCTGGACATTCAAAAAAAATAAAAATAAAACAAAGCAAAAAAATCTAGAAACGTTTCGTCTCTCATCCCAGAGACTTCCTCAGTCTGAGGTGCTGTTTTCAGCTCAGTCTCTTAAATAGCACCTTCTCAGAGTGGATCAACCAGTTTTGCTGCTGACAACCAGAACCAGCTGATCACATGCTCAAGAAGGACCATCAGCCTAACAATGGGTCATTAGCACACTGATGGCTGTTTACTGTTCACAGAGGGCTGAGTGATACTAGCAATCACAGCATTGTAAGAGGGGGACAGTTGAACCCGGAGGCCTCCACCCCTGTTTAATGATGGACGGTTTCTTTTCACAAAGAGTGAAACTTTCCCACTAGCTCAGGAGCCAGGCAGAAGGAGAAATCCCACACAAGACA